GGCTTGAACTGTATGAAAAAGTTAATGGAGCCGCACCATTTTACAGGGACAAAGAATTTGTCTTTCATGTCCATTACTCAGCATTTCTCTTCCCATTTTTTTCCAGCTGTGTAAATTCATGTAGAACTGGCATATCTCTAAAGGTTTTATTTCCTGCATTACTGTACTGAAATACATAAGATCTGTCAATTCCTCACACTAAATGTATTTAGCAAAATTATCCCAATTTTACAAAAGCATTACTACTATCCTTGTTGCTAGCTGATGCTAAACAAATATGTTTGGCAATAGGGTCTTTGCATTCACATCTTTGTGTCCCTAATTTATTAATTTAGATGTAATCATTCACTACATTTTCATTGCCATACTTCTCTTCTGTCTCTCTCTCTTTTTTTTTTATTGTTATTAGAGTGTTGAAATGACCAATTCTTATAGTGTTTTGTAGTGGTTTTTTTTTTTTTTTTGGTTGTTGTTTTTGTTTTGCTTTTAACCTTCTTTTTCTCACCTCAACTTTAAGCAGAATTTTATTCTCATGTTTTGTCTTGCCCTGGAGGTCTGTACAACCTCCCTAGTGCTATCCTTATTCTATTTCCTGCCTAGTAGTTTAATCCCAGATTGATTCATTATGTTGCTCTGAGGCTCACTACAGCAATTTTTCAGTTCTGATTTTCCTCCTGATACACACAGTTCAACTTTCCCCCTGTCTCTTTCATATTTTTGTCTTCCAGAAAGTCTGGAAGACCTGTGTTTAGAATTAATATCCTTCCTTGGGAATAAATCATGCTTCTCATGTAAGTACAACACTGCCATGCATTTGATTACCAGATGTTCATATTTTGAATATCATATTTCTGTAAAGGTATCTCCAGAAACAGTATCCTAGTTACACGCTGGATGTAGAGGCACCCCATGAATATTTTATAACACTCCTCATAGAAGATCCTTGTAAAGTGTCTTTTATATATTAGTTTCATGGTGAATCAATTGTCCAATTGTTGAGCAAGTTCTTTTTAACCATTATCATTGGTTCTATTAGTTCTAAGCCTCAGCTCTCATTGCTAAGTGTACTATAAGTGTACTGTATAAAGAGTGCACTATATTAAAAAAAAAAAAAAGCGTATAAATACACACTTTTTCTTGTGAGGGGATATCTATAAAAAGGAGGTAGGGGGTAGGAGGTGGGAGGAGTTGTCCCTAATGTCACTGTTTTGGTCAAGATCTGGACTTTTTCAAGGCCAGTGGGAATTCTAATTTTGGGCAGCAGAAATTAACAGTAACTGCACTGGTGAGTCCTTTTACTTCAGTGTCATAACTCTCACAGCAAGCAGTGTCAGATGCTTCAAATAGTAGTTTCAAGGGGAGAATGAAATGGTAGTTCAAAGTGAAAGGGTTTTTTTTTGGTTAAACATGTCAAGCATTAACTGGCTTACTTTTTGACATGAAGCATATCTACTATTTATACATTAATATTTTTCTTCTTGATTTTTAGACCACCCTCTAACTACTCCTGATGCCTTTTCGAACAGAATATTTCATTAGTTATATTTGTCTTTGATGTATATGTGGAAGGTTTAAACTGACATGCGTATCTCAGACCCAAGTATATTAAAATAATTTTCTGTCTCCAACAGTTTAGGAAGTATAGTTCTCTCCCAATATCAAATTATTCCAGGTGACATGAGACAGGTTTGCTGTTTTTTGTTTTTGTTTTTGTTTTTTCTTTTACAGATTTCTTCTTGTTTCAAAATTCAGTTATTTGACTTTGTAGATTTAATACTATTCATATTGTTTATTTATGTTTAATACTGTTCATATATATATATATATACACACATAAATACTCTATGGCTGAACATTTTCAAAACCTTGATTCTCAGTGCTCTGAAGTTCTAAGATATATTTTTAACAGTTTAATCAATTGGCAAACTTATTCCTTAAATGTGTATTAGGGATGAAAAATTTAATAGCTAAAACTTTCAAATAGGGCAGCCTTTAAGGGTATGGTAACTAGGTTCTGCAGTAAGATTTGGATCAGCAGACTGAGAGGAACAGCAGCCTCTAAGAAATTCTTCATTCTGTTCTTTCTTTTAGAACACTTAGAATCTAAGGAAAAGTAGCTTGTAAACCAGCTGTGGAATAGAAAATAAACTGCGGATAAAATCCAAATGTGTGCTGAACCCTTTTAATAGTTCTCCTTTTAATAGCTAACGTTTAATTAGAATCTTATTTGTTATCAATTACAATCGCTAATAATTTAATCTTTGGGGAAAAGAAGACATAAGACATTTCCTACCATTAACATTTAAACTGCTTTCATTTTGTAGGATTTTAAGTAGGTGGGGTACTTTATATTTCTACTAAAATGTCCACATGTTTTTGGTATTTTAGTCCAAATATTGTTTCATTTACTAGAACTATAATGTTGGGAAAATAGGTTTTGGTGAAAACTGTGTGTCGAAATAGCAATAAATGTTGAATTAAAAATGTCAGCTTTAAGGAAAACTATATGCATAACAGTAGATCATGAAAGTAGATCCTGAAAAAAATCCTACATACATACCTGCAAAAGAGGGACAAAGAGAAAAGACATGGAATTATTAATAGTCCAACTTTTTATATGACAAAAAAATTATTTATTTATTTATTTTTTCAAAAAAATATAATTCTTGATCTTTTTGAGATTATCCCTAGACTGGAAAAACAAAACAAAACAAACAAACAAAACAAAAAAAACACATTTGATAGCGCTGCCTAGAGCATTTTGAGTACTCAGACAGAATGAATATTGATATTTATACAAATAGTAGAATTATTAAGGTTGGGAAAGACCAATGTTATCTCAAACGGGGAGTTGGAGCTATGAGAACACACAGAATGATGCCTCAACAAGGACACGCAGTGAAGAACATCCCCAAATCACATAGAGGCTTCATCTTCTTGTAAGGACTCCCCATGTGTTTATATTGCATAGCACTCTTATTATTTGTGTCAGAAGTTCCTATAAGCACTTTAGGGCACACTCATTTTGAATATTTAGGACAAAGCAGGACTAGTGTCCTGCAGTGTAGATTCCAAAACCTGCAGTGTAGATTCTGTTGTTGTCTGAAGCTGCAGTGAAAGAAAGATTGGAACTCTTCTGAGTCCCTGAAAAGAATGGGCTAAGACTGTGGCATTTGTTTCCTTCCACTTCTGTTTGTTTGTTTGTTTCTGATCAAGATCCTACTTTTTCAAAATGTGGAAACTTTTGTCATATTACCATGGGAAATGATGGTCTTTGACATTTTTCCTCAGTAATCAGCAGAAGGGAAAAATAACTTACTCTTTATCAGAATAAGCTGTCTAAATAATTTTAAATATGTAAAAGTATGTAAAATTCATACCATAAAGTAAATTCACATATTTCCTGATGAAACTATCAGACGTGTTTTTAGTTATCTCATTCAGATTTTCATTTTTTTCATGGCCACTAATAACAATCGGAACTCTATTAGCTAGTGCTGTGATATTGTGTTCAGCATTTTTTAGGAGATTGTAAAGTTAGTTAAGTTAGTGTTGCTGATCTCCAATGCAAATATACCCGTTGGATGATGCTGTCTGTTGATGTATCTGTTAGCTTACCTTGTTTCTCAGTCTTTTTAACACAGTCATAAATCTGGGAGGGCTTCAGTGTGGGTGGTAGGCTGTCAATTGTTAGAGAAATGCAGTTTACTGGAAAAACATTGTAGAAAATATGCTTAATTACCCCACTAAGAAAGAACACCAAAACCTGAAAGCTTATATTACACATTTATTCTCCAGTCCACTTATGTATATAATTGTATATATATAGGAATTAATAGATTATCAACTAAAATATATACTGAAAATGAAGCCTATATATACTGAAAATGAAGCCTGAGTGAACTATCATTCATAGTATTGCATGTATTTATATTTTTAATGCTATTGAGCATCTAGCTGATATTTTCATTGAACTGTGTTTCATAGTCACAGGATCTTATTTGTGCGTTACAGTGTTCTGTTTGTAGCTGTTTATTTTTTCCTACTTCTCAGTTATCTACACTAAATTTCCTCTACAGTGAGAGTTTACAGTCAAAGCATTTTTCCACAAATCAGGATGATATTGAAGGTCTTTTCTAACTTAAATGTTTCTACAACAGCAAAGTCTACTTGAAGCATATGCCAGAAAAGTTCACTTAAGAGAGGGTATGATTGTTTGAAAGAGATGTGGAATTCGGAGGCAGCTGCTTTCTGTAGTAGGTTTCCTATCTCTGGCAATGGACAAAGTCATACAGATTATATTTTTGCTTTGGATCAGTAACTGTTGAAATGGAGTAAGTACCAAAGGAATGCAGATTCACAGCCTGATATTTTTGCACTTTTTTCATTTTTCTACTTAAAAAAAAAAAAAAAAAAAAAGTAAATGAAAGTACTATTTTCAGTATTTCCTGTGAATTTATAGCAGTTCTCCAGGATATAAATACCAAATTATTTACTTCAGAGGATTGAGAGGATTACTTAGTTAATGTTTATAAACCACTTTGAAGATAAAAAGCACTATTGAGCAGCTTAAGAATTACCAAATAGTTAATTATCTAAAGTATCTAAAGGTCCCATTCTCCCCCCTACAGGTTATTTCTACATAGGGGAGAGTAAGCTCTTAGCTTCATATCATGACTTTCAAAGCCAGGCTTTTTAAATATTATTGACTTATAAAAATTGCTGTTGTTAGTGGCCTGAATCTGATTCCTTTGAAGTCAATGGCAAAAGTCCAACAGATTCCATTGAAGCACATTGAAGCAGCTATTCAGAATAAACAGGTTGAAACAATGCTTAGAGCCCCTATTCACTTTATTTATATTTCATCTGACTTGATGTGTGTATATGTGTATACATATATACACATATACACACATAAATACATTGTATACACACAGTTGTTTGCAGAAGAGTAAAATATATATATATTTTTTTTTTTTTTTTTTTTAATGTGTGACCAGGTATACAGAACTCATTCCTTCATGAAGAATGAAAGAGACATGCTGATGTTACTGTGAACTTCCATAGTCAAAATTGATCCCATTGCAAGATCTGAATAGGACATTGCCACACAGATAAATGATCTTAGCAACAGTGAAGAAAAAGCTCTTGAAAAGGCTCCGCCTGGATCCTGTACTCTGCCAGCCTTGTATTTAATGCAGATACCTCACATGAAGAAATTTAAGAAAATAGCTCCTGAATGCAATGTTCACAGTCAGACCTTGCCCACAACAGAAGCACTGAAGGTATTTATCATACTTCTTTCAGTATCTCTTAACAGTTAAAAACAACATAAGTGATCAGAACAAGGTAAAAGTTACCCTGCATGAGGAGAACAGGACTAAATAGTTTGGGAAATACTGTTGCACATGTAGCAAACCTTTACAGTAGAAGAAGGAAGTCCAAACATTAATACATAATTTTGTTTTGCAAACCTTAAATATTTCTTAATTCTGGTATGACTGATTAGGAGTCGGATGTTAAGTATTTGTTAATACTGGCGTAATTATGGCTTAAATTCATCAATATAACTCACGTGACTTTTTTCTGAAATGGCATATATATTTAACTTGAGTTCATAACTGGTTACTTCCTGAGATGAAGAACAGTATCTCAATATTGAACTCGTTTAAATTTGACCTTTTAATGTGCTAGAACAGCATACTATCTTATGCTCTTATCTGTGTTGGCTCTTAAATCAGGGTCTAGCTGTAAAAGGGCACTGCCGAATTCTCGAGTTGTATTTTTTGCAAGAAACACTCTTTAGGTTTTTCATAATTAATATTAAGAACATGCAGGAGGCAGTAAAAAGAAAAAGAATAAAGGAGGAAGAAGGGATTTAGTTAACAAATTGGTCTTGGTATACCTATATTCTAACACTTGCAAGCATGATGAAAATCTGCTGAAAAAAGCACAGCTAAAGAATGGATGGTCAGAATATAATGGTATGCAATAAAAAAAAGTTGATATTTTTCTTGAAAATATAAACCTTTAGTTCAAAAATTATTTTTCTGACCCATGTGTGTCAGATATTTCTAAAGTTAACTATAAGTCTATGGCCTTATGCTTTAAAATATTCCTCTCCCACAGGATCTCATGAAATATGCGTGTGTTTACAGGAAATTGTGGAAATAGTGACTCATCTTTTCAATAATTTACACAGGATAATTTCTTGAAAAGCAAGATCAGCAGGGGCTTTTTTTTTTTTTTTTTTTTTTTTTCTGATTGCAGAGGATTTACTTAGCTACCTCTGGATACTTTGAAAACAAGGAGAATATTCAAAGTAGAATAAATGAAGTCATTCATTTTAGTCATATTAGTCAACTATTATTAGTCAACTTACTACTATTTGCTCCAGTTCTCTAAGCATTTGAACCATAGCCTTATGTCTGTTACTAGGAGTTTTCAAAACTTTCCTGCTTGATGTTACCTTTTCCAAACACTGTTGTATCTGTATGTCACAAAATGCTTGCAAACCATACAAGGTGACTCAGAGTTCTCCAGCTCTACTTAGAGTGCTTGTACTTACTCTATATAGGCCATAGTATTCTTACTTAACTTGACTTGAGGTGTTCAAGGCAAGGGATAAGTGCTTCTTAAAAGTGACCAATACCTAAATAATATGTTCATCCCTGAATACTGCAAACAGGAATTGAATGATGTCACTGAAGGAAAAGGAATACTATACATTGCAACAGAGCTAAGGTCAATTTAATTGCAATAAGCAATGAATAGACTGTGTCAGAAAAAGCTTTTCACACAAATACACAAACACACAACTAATTGAAACCAACCTCAATTACCAGCCCAGTGAGGCAGCATGGTCAAGAGCAGGGGAGTGTGATTCTCCTTCTGAGCAGGCTGTTGGTCAGAGGCTCAGCACAAACACATAAAAATTTCACCTCAGGTACATCAACACAGTGTTGGATATCCCCAAAACAATGTCCCCCCCCCCCCCATCTCCCAACCCCAGCATTTACTGCCAAGTGTCTTCTTTATAGCTGGATGTTGGCACAAGCTGCCAATCAGATTGCAGTACAAACTTCCAGCAGTCTCAGGTACTGTTTTCCTGTCAGCTGTCAATCTGTGGCCCAAGCCAAGGCTCATTACACTCAGATCCTACTTGCATTGCCATGTCAGTCATAGTTCATTTTGTTTAGGCCTTGTTTGCAATGTCCTATTGATTATGACTGAGTCACTCAGCCCTTGGTCAAGGCAAAGTTTTATGTTGCTATGTAAAAATGAAGGACATTTTCTATACACCTCCAGTCAAAGTAAGTTGGTAGTTTATAAAATTCTGGGATAAATTTCCATACCTTGTCTCTGCATCCCAAATACTGGGAGCTGCCTGTGGATGGTCTAGTCCATACTGTAAGTTACAAGATCTATTTGTGTTTCTTCAGTTCACAGCTGAAAAATCTAACTTTAAGAGGAGTAGAAATTACTTCTTAGCAATATAGATGTAGTGCCATTTTACCTTGGCTGCATCCCCTATGGCAGGAGCTGTGAGAAAAAAGGACATAGAGTCACCTCAACAGATAAAACGTAACTCCAGGCTATTGTTATAAATTATGTCAGAAATATAATTAACTCCTTCAAGTAATTCTTATAGACAGCCCTGCACAGCCTAACAATACTTTCATAATGAAGATAATTTGGAGCTTTGTTGCTAAAAATAATAAAAAAATAAAAAATAGAGCAGGTTCCTGAAAATGCTCAAATGCTCAATAACATGGTGTCTTGGCATAATGAATATGTTAAATGAATAGCCACAGGATACAGAAAATGTACTACAAGTCTGCTCCATTAATCTTCTAAGAGAGTGAGAATCTGCTACAGCACTGGAATTTTCTTTTGAGATTTTCTAATTTAAGGTAGTCATTCCAAGCCTGCAAATAGTAGCTAATGAAATTTGATTTTATAGACAGAGGGTGAAATAAATAATCTTAGTACTCATCAATTAAAAACAAACAAACAAACAAAAAAAACTAGTAAGCATACATTTTAAAAGTATGTATATAAAAAGTACATTTCTGAACTGCAAAAATATTTTAAATTCTTGCAATGACCTTAATGACCTTGTTATCAATGTGCCCCGCATGAATAATGCAGCCACCCCAAACTCATGTCATTAAAAATAGTAATAATTGTCTGACATGCACATGCAATGTTACACTGGGGATCAATTTGGCCCAGAGCATTCCATTAAAACATAAAGTGAGTTTCAAATGTATATGTTAAAATGAAACATCAGCTATAATGAAAAAGGAAGCAGAACAGAGCAGGCTTTACATATTAGTATGCATTTTCCTTTAGAGAACATTTCACCACACTCATACTATACATAATGTTATTCCATATTTGATGTACAATCAATCCACATTTTATTTTGCTTTTTAAATTATCCTATGAAAAGTACAAGGCAATCAATGTACTGTGCTCTAGAGAGTTGGTACTATTATTTGAATTGCTATTGCTATTTAATACTTAGTTTTCAGTAGGGCCTTGATTATGGGCCATTGTATTAGCTACCATACAAGGACTTAGGAAGATGTGGCTCCTGATCTAAAATTCACCATGTCTTTGCATTATAAAGCTTCGGTAAGCTTAGAAAGACAGGTAAAACACATTAGAGTGGCCTGGTTATTATTTGTTCTTCTTATGTCTTCTGAACATCCAGAGATTGAGATGACCTCACCTTTTTAGCATTCTTGTATCAAATCCTATAGCAGAATACCTAAGAAATCATTCTGTTGGAATTAATGTTTTTGAAGTGATTCTAAAGACCTTTGACATGACTTAGTAGAGTATTATAGTACTTCAGACAGCTTAAAAAGATTGTCTTCACAATATTCTGCAGAGTTGAGCACCTTGTTTTAGCAGTGATGAATTCAGCCACAGATAGATGAAAACTTAAAAAAAAAAAATATATATATATATATATATATATATATATATATATATATATATATATATATATAGTGGGTGTGCGTTTTACCAAGCACACATCTGCCCCCATAAATATCCTTGACATGAAAAGAGTATTTCAAAGTACATAAGAGGCAAAGCAAGGGTGGATCGGTGGTTCAAGATGGTCACTTTTGAGGTTTTGAAATACTTGATTTTTGAAATAGATATTTAGAATAAATAGAAATAAATAGAAAATTTCAAAAGATTTTGAAATACTTGGACACACTTTGTCTTGGCCAGAGCATACAGGTAATAGATTTGTCAGTGCATTTATGCAACTGTTTAGCAGGATCACCAGTGAGAAAAGTGGTTTTCGGACACCAAATGCCCATGAAATTTTTAATATGCCTGTGAAAGTATAGCGAGGCAGACTTATTATTAGAAGACAGTAATTTACCTTTTGTATTCCTATATCTGTAAAGCCATTGTGGCTGCTATGTACATGGATATTTTAGATCTCAAACATTATCAATTCATTTATTGCATAAAATGAAAACCTATGTTTACTTCTCCCCAGTGAGAGGCATTTGTTTAACAAGGCAGCAGATGCTTCACAGCTTCCCAGTCTGTGCAAAGCTTTAAGGACATTATAGTATTGAGCTGAAGTCACTGTAAACGTGTTGTGATTAATTTTATGTAGTTCTAACAGTTTTGTTAAAAAACACATTTTAATCCACTTAATCTGCATTATATAATTTTAAAAAAATCTTTAGTTGGCTTCATAAAATTAGAATATAATAAGCAATTTCTTATGTCCTGTTTTTGACTGAGACAGAGTTAATTTTCTTCTCAGTATGGTGCTGTGTTTGGGATTTAGGATGAGAATAATATTGATAACACATTGAGGTTTTAGTAGTTGCAGAGCAGCACTTACACAGAGCAAAGGCCTTTTCGGCTTCTCACTCCTCCCTGCCAGTGAGGAACCTGGCAGTGCACAAGAAGCTGGGACAGGACAGAATCAGGACAGTTGACCCATACCAGCCAAAAGGATATTCTGTATCACATGACATAATGCTGAACAGCAAAACTGGGGTGACATTGGGAACGATGGCATTTGTCTTCCCAATAAACCCTTACAAGTGATGAGACCTGATTTCCTGTAGGTGGCTGAAGACTTGCCTGCCAATGGGAAGTAGCAGATCTTTGTTTTACTTTGCTTGTACACATAGCTTTTGTGCAAGTTTACCTAGTAAACTGACTTTATCTCAACCTTTGAGTTCTCACACTTTTACCTTTTTGAGTCTCTCACCAATCCCACTAGGGGAGAACAAGTGAGCAGCTGTGTGGTAGGTGCTTAGCTTCCTGCTGAGGTTAAACCACAACAATTAATATTCAGACAAAGAGACAGATATGATATAACAAAACAATGCAAAATTTTCCAGTCTAAAACAGTAAACAACCAGATTTCAGCCAGTACTGAATTTTAGTAGAAAATGGAAAACAGGAACTTGGAAAAGAAATACTGATAGCTCTGCAATTAGTGCTGTAATATGGTTGAATACGAAGTTTCTGAAACTGTTCTACTATTTCCATCATATGTAATTACAGTACTTAAAAAGCATTTCCCTACACAGAGAAAGGGAAGTAGTACACTTAGTAGCAACCAAACTGTCATTCTGTCTCCTTTTTCAGCATGCCTGCTTTTCTTGGAGGTCATTTTTAATGAGTATGTAAAAGCACCTGAAAAATCAGGTGCATAAATTAACCACCAATTAAGGTAGTTAAAAAAAAAAAAAAGAAAAATTTAATTACTAGTTACTATATATAAAGACCACTCATTAACATGTGGCATGCCTGAATGTTTATCACATTGCAATTACTGAGGCTCCAAAGAAAAGTGATGTTTTCATTGTGTTGTAGTCCTGAAACTGGATATTACATGAAGCAAAAGAGTTTGCTTTCAAATTTATGTCAGCAGGTACAATTGAAAGAATATTATCACAATTTAAGATAGTAAGTGCTTAATTATTTCTGTATAACATTTCTCCCACATTTAATATCACTGTCTGTTTGGAGTGGCTGTTGACCTAGTTTTCAATCAATTGCAATGAGAATAAAAAATTGACTAAAGCAGTGATTTTTTTTTTTACTGTGTTACCTGTGACATCTGCAATGTTGAATGCATAATTTATAAATTTTTTTGCTACCCTCAACAGTGAACTGGCATTACAAACCAAAATCTTAGAGAACAATAATGGCACTAGAAAATAAAGAGAATCTTGAGAATAGAACTGCACAGAAAATATCACCTATATTTATGAGACAGGAAAAAATCTACAAGTAGAAATTAAAGCACCTATGTCTTTGGTTATTAAGGCACTAATTATCCTATGAATTATGATCAACTATTGGCCATCTGTTTTAGGCAAATTTGGGGTTTGAGTACTATAATCAACAGTTAGCATTACACTCCTAAAACAAAGGTTTATTTATTTTTTCTTTCCATCAGACAAAGAATAGAAGATAGTGGGATAAAGAAAGACAAAATAAAATGATGTAAAGAAGATCCATTTACTACAAACGTTCTCGCTACAACAAGTCAGACTATTTGCCACAGAGTGTAGATTCTGCATGACAAACTGCAGTTTATATGTAGGCATTTAGATACCTGGACTCCAGAATGGACTCTGACTGGTAAGTGACATGCCATGATAACTGCAACACTTATAGTGAATATATAGTGTAAATAAACTATAAACCTCCAATTAGAATCCTAATGTGATGAGTAAATTATCCAAGAAGGAAACATCGAGAAGGTGAATATAATTTCTAACCTTTCATAACTAAGTGCCTTTCATTCATGAAAGACCAATAACCAATATACGTCTTCATTTACCCTTTGTTCAAAATTCAACCACTGAAGTAGAGTAAGAAGCCAATGTAGTAGTGGCAATGCCACTTTTTTATGTAATAAATTTTGGCTCAATTCTTCATTTATCTTTTGGGAACTTAACTGTGTTTGAAACCCAGGAGAATTACGTACCTAATTCCCCTTGTTGATGTGATGTCTAGAAGACAGAATGCTACCCAGATCCAAAATGCCAGTCACCCATCTGCAAATTTTACCTACCATCAGATTATATCTGTACTTTATATTGATGTTAGTTTAATCAAATTATTATCAAATTGATCATGGTGGTACAAGAATATTGATGCCAATAAGACACACAGATGGAAACTAAATTCAGCTGATAGTAAATATTTCTAAGTACCTGACCTCTCTGTGATGCATCCATGCATAGTTCTTTCTACTTTTTTAAGTATATTTGAGCAAATGGATAGCAATTAAGGTGCTACTAATAGTTCAGAGTACAGAATATCTGCATACAAATTAAGTAATATGCAGTAACCTATAGCATTTGAAGCATTTATTGTACATTTCATGAAGTTATATAATAGTTATCAATAGTAGCTATTACTTGTTATCAAAATTAGCCTGTCTAATTGAATGTTGCTTGTCTCTTTTCACTTAATTATTCACCATCCCTTGTTGGTGCCTACGCTATTAGCACCACAGGAATCATCTTAAAGTACTTCAGTCAGCTAAGTTCTTCTGTCACCTGATATTGGTCAACTCAAGCTGTGTTGGTATAAAGTGAAAGCATAATTTAGCTCGATGACTGAAAATTAAAGATGATGACTGTACATAGATTGCATTGTTATTGTTTGGACTTCAGCCTGGTTGCCCTTTAGTAGATCTTTTATCTGGAGTAAATTTAATTGATGTAACCCCTTATAAGGGTTAATAGTGGCAATATGGCTCTTAATAGGTAGTATCAAGTGCTAAGTCTCAGACCAGCTCTTATTCCCCATAAAATAACTTTTAAGCAATTACTTTTCAGCCAAAAACAGCCCATTATCCACAAATACACAAACATTCACAATATTCTACAAAATACACAAATATATGACTTTTTCAAAAAAATCAATGTACGTGTATGTACTTCTATTCCTAGTGTTTTCCATCTAGCCGGATAAAAGAAGGACTGAAGACAGAAATACGTGGGAAGATAAGGAAGAATGGGACAAGTCAGAATGCTGTACAGGCTGATAAATTTATAAGATTCCTTGTGTTGAAAGATGTCTGTAAGGTTCGACCTTAAAGGAGGCTGTAGCGAGGTGGGGATTAGTCTATTCTCCTACATGCCTGGTGACAGGATGAGGGGGAATGGGCTAAAGTTGAGCCAGGGGAGGTTTATATTGGATATTAGCAAGAACTCCTTTACTGAAACAGCCTTGGAATGGGACGCTCAGAGAAGCAGTTGAGTCACCATCCCTGGAGGTCTTTAAAAGACGTTTAGATGTAGAGCTTAGATATGGTTTAGTGGAGGACTTGTTAGTGTTAGGTCAGAGGTTGGACTCGATGATCTTGGAAGTCTCTTCCAACGTTCTGTGATTCTGTTTTATCTATTAACATAGGAAGTTTGGTGGGGAAAAAAACAAAAAAACAAAACAAAACAAAAAACCACAAAGAACTTAGGCATAGACATGTTATAAAGTAATAATATTTTTCACGGTTCACTTATGGACTTGTACAGAGAGACCTATATACTGCAAAAAAACAGAAAGGTGCACATATTTTCTCTCTTTATGTTGATCTTTGATCTGTCAAAAAGACAGCTACCTGGTGCAAAATGTAATTTCTCAATAACCCCTTAGTTATTTAGGATTGTTCCTGTCCTTTCCTGCAGGTGCTGTATTTCAGGTGCTGAATCTGCAGTACTGAGTAATTTTTATTGCTTTTGTCTATAAAGAAATTGGAGGGAAAAAAATAAAAGTCCACAAAAGTCCACTGAGGGATGGGTGTATCACCACTATGAGGCATTTTTTTTTCATGAACTGCTTTTTTTTTTTTTTTTTTTTCTAACTTTAAAATGTGAAGGGCAATGTCACAGTGAACTGGAATTTGAAAGCATGGTGATTTAGATAGACAAAATATACCGCAAAGATTAATGTGGATGTTTTGTGTCCATATCTATAGCATGTAAATAGTATTGGTTCTATGTGAATAAATGCAAATTATTGCACGATGAATGCAATTAATATAGGGCATCTTCAGAGAGTCAGGTCTTAACCAGTGGGCAGGTTACTTTTTTGTTTTTGGTTCTGTCAGGATACTAAGGACAGTGATAGCACCTAAAAATCTAATATTGGTTTAAACTCACCAATTTAAAACAAGAGCATTTGATTTGTGAGGCAATTGGAGCATCAATAGTTTATGTTCATTTAAATTAATCTGAAATTGTATTATAGAGTCAGAGTGATTTAAAAGACTAGGAAAACCATTTCTTCCATTAATAGTTTTCTCTAGAGAATGTTGATAAAAACTGGACCTGAAAAATTGATGAAAAACTGGACCAATTTGTTTTTCTTATTCCCTTTGGATATTTTTGCAGCCAGCAACAAATACATATGGCTACTGTAGTTTGCTTTTTCTGTTCCAAAGCTGTCAGTCAACTTTTGGCAGTAGGGACTCTTAGGCAAATGAATAGCACAAAACATCACCTACATTGCAGATTTGACATTGCAGATTTGTAATCATGGGGTAGGAACAAGGATATTAAAGGAAAATTAAGGGACATTGGGAAGAGGTATGGGAGACAGAGGATTTTCCCAGCAGACATATGGGAAAATAAGCCCAAATATTAGAAAGAGGCTGTCAGGATGAGTAATCTGCTGGGTTTTGTCAGTGTCTTTAGCAATACACTTTTCATAGTTCTTGTAAGCAAGAAAGAAAAATGTCTGTTTAATTTATTTCCACATCAATTCCTGTGAACAGATAGTCTTCTTAGTTTCAGGATTTTGAATGATTTTTCAAAAACAGTCAACCTTACTCCTTCTTAACTCTCTGCTCCATATAAAATGCAAGTGCCAGACCTATGTTTATTTTCATGATAGGATGTAAAGAATTTTCATGATAGGATGTAAAGATGGAACGTGTGTTAATGACTGTCATTTCAGTAAACAAGGCTGATATGATTTTATACCTGTAGTTTTTGATGACTGACTCTCATATTAGTGTTTCCATATTTTCCATGGGATTCATGCCTGACTGAAAGAATACTATCTTCCCCTCTAATTATTTTATTTTTATTTCATATTGATGAAACATTATCATTCCTCCAGGCATCTGAAATTTCATAGGAGCACTAGGAACTCTAGGAACTAGTGATCTTTAATGCTATTAGTACTTTTGTGTAAGTCCTTTGGACAGGGATACTCTGGGCATCCTGATTATAAAATACCAGCTCTAAGTAAATGTCTCTTCCTACATTCCTAAATCTCTTCCTACATTCTGCTTAGGTGATTGATGTTTCTCTAACTTCTTATCAATAAACTCCAACTTGATACCTATTGCTATTGATAGTTTCCTTTTTCTACTGTTTGATTCATTGACTTGCATTAGAAATTGCTGACTTCAGCCAGGGTGGACTTTCATCAAATTTGAAGCCATAGTTAAAGTAACTAGTTTGTGTTGCACTCATTATTTTGGCCTTCCACTATTTAATTTCACAGGTCTTTCAATTGGATCATTTTTCATTGACTTTTTTCCTTGTAGTTATTTTATGAATAATTTCCACAGTTTAGGAAAGTTGACAAGCAGACTTTCTTCCTTCACATTAACACTGCCCTGCACAGTGTTTTTTCTGTCAGATGATGGGGAAGAAGCTGCATCCTGTTCTTTGTCATGCTTTTAAATCTAGGTCATGGGGGTTGTTTCCCAGGCAGCCATTTACCGCCTATTTTAATCCATTTTAATTCATGATTTTGAGGATCAAAATAGTTGAGTTGGATGAATTTCTCCTTTAAAAAAAGTTGCTTTTTTACCAGGTAGACAGATGTGTAGTTCCCAATTTATGTAAAAATGTTTTTTTCTTTATTTTGAACACATCATTAACAAGCAGTTTATAAGGAACTCATCTCACTTTCTGATCTGATAGTGTTTAATAGATTTCTACCTAGGTGTTGTTATCATTTTCATTTAGATGAATCTAAAACCTATGCTTCTGACTTACCAGTTATTCTAAAATAGATAGACGTATGATGTTGAATATATGGAATGTTTTCTCCTATCTGTTTCTATTTTACATAGTCTACCATTTTTGAATTTATAATAACCAGTTATATTAACATTCAAGTCATGAATCATCACATCAAGTCTCAGGAATGACAGTTATGCCAATTATTCATTTTCCACAATGAGAATATCCAGTTCCTTTCAGTTGTTATGGAGTCTCCTAGGACTGGCATACAAGCAACTGAAAAATGTCTTTTTCTTTACTTTTTTTTTTTTTTTGTAGTTGTTATATCAGTTCAATTTAGTTATGAGGATACAGATTTAAATCTAGTACAGTGATATCCAAGCTATCTGTAAGCAAGCTGACTATGGTGTAAGAAGCAAATAAACTGCAACAGCAAAAATTCAGCTTAAGCTAATATACTCACATCTTGAGAGCTCACTTGAAATTGGGATTGCATTCTGTTTACTTCCTAACTTCATAGCATTGATCATTTAGTGCCCTCCCAGCAGTTTGACCCATTCTCTGTATGATTTCTTATAAGAACCTGACTTACAAACTTGAGCATTCTGCTTCGCACCAGTTCCACTGCTGATGGTAAAGTTTCCATATTTTCACTGACTGCCAAACATCTTTCAGGCTGTGGAACATGCATCCTCTTCCCATCATGATGTCTTCAAAGGCATCTCAATTACCAGATCAGTTCAGAAACCTTTGAAGAAAAAGGAGGTTCCCAGTACTGATAGGTCACTAAGTGGAAGAGACCAGGGCTTATGAAACAATGCATGGATACACAGAAGTGCAGTGATATTTGAAAATCATACAATAACCTTTTAGAAAATATGCACATTGTTTAAAACAAAATATCTAAAGCCTCTCACTCTTACACTTTCTCTTGAAATGCATTAAAATTTTTCTTGTTACAACATTCATTTCCAAATGTTCTATTTTACTGGTTCACACTCATTCTAAACGTGAATGCCAGATGGCACTTGCCCTCAGGCCAAACACATCTTCTATGTCTTGACACTTCTTTCATTTTAATGTGCTTTTTGAGAGAATGATGCCTTTGCAGAAGCTGCAGCAGTGAAGATGTCAATGCATTTTTTTCAAAGCTCCTCAGATCTTGTAGTTTACCCTTTGCTTTCTATGACCATTATTGAGTTCCTCATTGGGTAGACAGATGATCAGAGTGTTCTTCCTTTTCACAGTTTGTACACATCTCATTACTAAGCTGAGAAAGACAGTGAATTTTACTTAGACTAGTTCAGGTAATTATCAACCTGCTGATGCCAAGAATAAGAGAAACGATGTAAAAAAGAACTCATAGTCTGAAAGTAATCTGAAATCCTATTTGATATGTTCTGTTCACTTAATTATGCAATAAAGACCATACAAGATAGTAAATGAAAGCTGATTTCAAAACTTTCTCCACTTGGTTTTATAAGTGCTGTATAGCCCTGAAAACTTCAACATCTTCCTATCAACTCTCCAGCCTTACACAGTAACTTACACTTACAGCTTATCATTCAGGTGGAGTTGGGAGCTTCAGTTGCACTTGCTCTTGAATTGTTTGCTGAGGGGCTGTAATTACCTTCAGTGGGCTTTCATCGTCCTTAGCCCGTCTGTCTGATCACTATGGGATTTTCACTAAAGTATATAAGTATTCTTGCTACTAATGCAAAATTCCTTGGAAACAAACCAGGAAATGTCTGTGACTGAATTCTACAACTCCTTATTTGACCAATACTGAGTATTCTTAAAAAAAAAAAAGACTTTTCACTCTGAATACCTACTGGTTTACCAGAGATAGGCAAATGAAGACAATAAGTTAGATTAATATTTGTACAGTAATTTATATCAATTTAAAACCACATCGTTTGCACCCTTTGCTTAAGTGCATAGAAAATGTAAAGGTTTTTGCAGGGGGATGATTAGTCTTTCCTTATATTATCTGTTGCTTTTTTGAGTTCCAGAAAACTGCAGTTAAAAATGTTATTGAAATAAACCTCAATCACAATAAAGCATTGGATTGTGTTGGCCTGTCCTGTTTAAAGCTAGATCCAGGGCCCTAGGGACCTTGCACTACCTAGCTGATCAAAGTGAGTTTGGTTTCATATTTTTCTTGACTAAACTTAGTTTGCTACTGGGATGGCACATTTTTGTATTTTCATGTGTTTAAGGCTTCTCTTAAATAGTTGGAAATGTATGATTTTTAACAGCCCTACTGTCTTTACGACCCTAAAAGGTCATATCTATTATATTCTGCAGTCAAAGCAGCTCTGCAGGGAATCTTATCTCTGACATACGCCAAATTATGCAAAATCTCATCCATCTAATTGCATATCATGTACAGTGACTTTTAAAGAGTATTTTTAGGCCCTTAGACTGCTACTAACCTTTAAAAAGTGTTCAATCCATTTGTTGTGCCTCCTCCTATCACCAGTTTAATTTTTGTCTTGTGTGACTGTTAAGTTAGTGGGGAAAAAAAAACTTGACTGACTTTGCATATAAGCACGGTGAAAGTTGCACCAGCCATCTTCATGTGAAAGGATCTCCTCTCTAAATAATCAGCATATTATGGCTCATAAAGGGTATACTTATGGCTGTGACAATGGCACTGCCACCTTTTACAAGATGTTCAAAGCTATTAGCCCCTTCATGTTGTATTTCCTTAAAAGATTGTTTTGCTTGGCCTCAATATGTTCTTGTACTCTTGTACTACTAAATATTAACTTGTAGGACTATGTTTTGCATGGGTATTCAAATTCTCACATTGCTTTTTGTCTTGGTAAATAGTGCTGAATTATACATTTAGTTTGATGGGAATCTTTGCTGGAATTAAAAGGAGTACATAGTAGATATTGAATTTCAGTGGGAGATGGGTTCTTCAGTCACAAAAGTGCCTGTAAAATGCTGTGCTAATATCTTTCCCATGTTTTTGAGAAATTTAGGAATGAATCTTCAGTATGTGACAAGGTATTAATGTAATTTACAGTTCTAGGAAAAATGAAATGGACAGATATTTTATTTGTATAGTATTCACAGGGAGTTGACAAAATACTAATATTTTTAACCAGTTTAAATTCATGCCCTTTAAATACTATTTCTAACTTTGAATTATTCCTCTTCATGCTTGAGGTAACCAATCAAGGCAAATTCCTTAATATCTGAATATCAATGATCATGGACTCTAACATGAAGCCAAGAAAAGTTTAAATGAAAAATGATTGCAAAAGATTTCAATTGCAGACAAAATATAAATATTTTGTATTTAAAACAAATGAAGAATACTGCAGAATGTACCATTTATTACCTGTGCCCCAACCATACCAACATAATATCTGCAGGCATCTGTAAGAATTAGTCTATGATGCTTGCATAGCTCAAATAAGAATGTTTCATCTGCATTAATTTTTCCTTTTTTCTGTGCATGATGATCAGTGGAACTAGATTTTTTATTATTATTTCATCATTGGTAGTCAGATTTTTTACTGCAAGTTTAACAGGAGTAGAAATATTTCAAAGCATTTGCAATTTCTTCAGTTAATATTAATCCCTAAAACCTTTACCCTATGTACAATGAAATAAAATATGTTTAAGGTCTCTTGTGCTAATACCAGTTCTGACAGAGGTGCAATTTGGAGGATAAACTCCGTATTCAAATAATTTCACAGATTATAATTTAACAAACTAAAATGCTCTGCCTGAGGGCTTCAGTAACTTAGATACTGTGAAGAAAATGTTAACCATTCTTTTTCCTTAAAAAATGGCATATGATTAACTATGTTTCAATATCACAATTGTAATTTGAATTGTATGAAAACTTGCTAATATATACGCCAATTCATACAGTAAATTCTACCTAACACCACTTAGGTTTTCCCAAAGCTACCTGATTTTTAAAGAGAAGTCCAGCCACATACAGCAATTTTAGTTTCACAGAAGCTGGGTATTTACTACGTTGCTTCCTGCAGACATAGACCATAGCAGGTTCATAGGGAGAAAAGTATACATTTTAGAAATGCGAAGATGATGAATATTTTTATTTGCTTTATAGACCATACAGGGTTCATAGGGAGAAAAGCGTACGTTTCAGAAATGTGAAGATGATGAATATTTTTATGTGCTGTTCAGTTTACGATGTATTTATTCTGACTGGAATGCATTTATGTTCATGACTATATTTTAGAATGACTCAAAAGAAACATCTTTCCTCTTTTAAGCACCCCTAAAGGAATAACTAAAAGGGTAAAAGGTGACGTGATATGGATAACAAGTATCATGATATGTGTAACTACTGAGTATCTTTAAAGGCATAGAGAAAAATCCACAATAAAACATCAAGACTCCCTAGATTCTTTCAGATGCTATGTGTTAATGCAGGATGTCTTCAATTCTAATCCATCCTAAGAACTAATGAACAAGTAAGGTCTTTTCCTTCCCCTTCCAAAAACAGTAATAGAAAAATCTTTCTTTAAGCTCACCTTACTGCCTAACACCCACAGTTTTTTTCAGTGTCTTTCTGTGATGATGTGTCCCGTATCACAAACACTTAGTTATTCTCTCTCTTAAGATCAATCTAAGCAGTGTTTTTTTCTCTTAGCAGACTCATACATTTCAGTGTGATGAGTACCTTTGCTACCTTACAGCAAGGTAAGATATTCAAGAGCACTATCTGGCCTACGCTATCACAACTAGAAACTAGAAAGGTACCACAGTAGTAACTTAGTATTCCAGTGTCATGAAGCTAACTCTGGTAAATATATTTGGTGGTTTACAATCCACTGTAATTGAGTGACGCTACTCTTCTGACTACTCAGGAGTTCAATGAATGCTACCCTGTATGTGTTCTGTTAAAGTAGTATTTAATATCTAAAAAATCAAAATAATTGCCCAGGTGTTTTCCTGGTCAAGATGATATTTTCTACTGTAGAGCTGATTTTTTTGCAAAGTAATTTAATTGTGGAAAACCTTTTTATTCCCATATTAAAACTGTATAATTATTCAGAAGAAAATGAAGAACTCTACACCTTCTATACTGCAGGAGCACCTCTCTATCATTTTTATCCACACAAATAAATCCAATAGTATTTCAGATGTATATCTTCTAGAAAAAAAAAATATTTGATTGAAAAGATTAATAGCTGTTTATTGTCTTGATGTTTCTAAAGAAACATAATACCATACATTTACATTGCAGTAGTTAATAAATGATGGCAAATTCCTCAGGGCATTATCAAACTGTGTGAATTTGTGTATCTGATCAAATATTTATTAGTACCAGTTTCTTCCTACACTGATTTTTCTTTTCATTTATTGCTCTAGGCTTTACTGTACAACACTAAGGTGATACTCATGGGCATACGCTCCCCAAAGAAAGGCAATCATTATGAAATACCCAACTTCAAAACTACAAGCTGCCTGAATTTTAATTTTTTGTTCTCTAAATAAACTGCCACAGTGTTTAATTATCTTTTCTAGCTTATTTCTTTGACCTATATTAATACTAACCAGAAACAAAATTTCATTAGTTAAGCTGACAATAGATATCAATTTCCATTGAATGATATCACAGGCTTTTTACGCTAATATATAAGCTCATTGCTGTGTACACAGCAAATGATTACTACAGAAAGTAATTAATTTATTGGACGTCACTTTTTACTGTGCTGCTAAAGCTCTGCCCTATATTATTTTCTACTTCTGTAAACCTGTTAGATGTGCAAAAGATTCATTGCACTGAACTAGTTTGAAATTCTGGAACCCATAAAAGTACCAGTAAGGCTTGTGGGAGACTGACAGTTGAATAAAAATGAAATGCCAGCGAAAAAAAAGGAAATATATGCAAATTTCCTTACTTCTCTCAGTTTCAACGCTGAGCCATCATTAAGTCTTCTCTGTGTGATGCTTTTTTCTAGTGCAGTTAGCACTGACCCAGCAACACAGTGTCCATTGTATTACAGGAGTACTAAGGATTGGTGCATCTTTCCCATGACCAAGCCTTCAGCTCCTTTCACTGAAGTAGAAGTTCTTGGTGGTGGCAAAGATGGTGGAAAGAGCTTTTCTTTACCCTCCTTCTACAAAATTAATTTCAGTTTTGTTTACTCCATCATGTTGGATAGGTTCATAGGATAGGGAATTACCTTCTGGGCCATGATCACATGCTTTGCAATAGGACCTTCCTCCTAAGAGCAATGCACATTGAATTGTCAGGATGCCATGTGTACTTTGGTCAGTATCCTTTTCATAATTTGAAGACTAAAAACATCTGTGTATCTATTTTTAAAAAATATTGGAAGAAGGAGTATGTGTTTTGCTCAGGAAAATATCGCATCTTTGGGTTTTCTGCATTTCTGAATGGGACATAAGAAGTTTCAGGGGAAGCTGTTCTCAAAGAGTCTCATCATAGGAACTGATATGAGGTACTGTCTTCTCATTCTATTACCATTAATGTCCCTCTTAGACTTCTCATTTACTTCAGTGAATGTAGGCCAAAGTAATCCATGGAGGCACTGTATAAAAAACGCTCTTTATAAAATCTCACATTCTCTAAAATATAGAGATCTTCAGAACTAAGTTAAATTGACATACTGCTGCAAAATGCAAACAAATGCACACAGGCAAAATGCTGAATTACAGGTTACAAGAATACACATTTCATAAAAAACAATAAGGAGAAACTCCCAGGAGAATGCAAAGTCAGAGGCTTGTGAGATCCCTGTATTTATTTAGATTCATAGTATAGATGAAGAAGTGCCTATGCTGAGCCCTAGGCATCCTTGGCAATTACGTAAAAGCATAAGCAACATAAAGAATGAGCACCCCGCAGCAATCTGCCATCCACAGAACCATGTATTAGACCTTACAGCAAAAGTAAATTAAGAGAAACCATACCTCCCTTATTCCCTTTCTTCCTCCCTACCCTTCTAAAGAGAAAGTTACGTGAAGGACCACGTGATGCATATAATATTTTTGTTTGGTTATTAACTGGACTTTCTATGCACAAGATAGATAGGTATCTCCTTTTTATATAAACTTGCATGAAATGCGGGAAGTAATGTTTTCCATTGTATTTGTTTTCTTTGGTAGTAGTGAACAAGAAAACATATTAGCTAGTAATTGCTTGTCCATGTTGTGATAGACTTATACACAACGCTAGACCTGATGTCCTATCTTTTATTTTTTTTCCTTGTATAATCACATGAACATGCTTATGGACAATTGATATAGCTAGCAGAAATTTAACATCTCTAGTCTACAATATTAAACTAATTTGGAGTCTAAATTTTAAAATTGAAATTGTTACCATAACAATAATTATGCTTGTATTGTTCCATTTGCTTGCTGCAGGACACAGGTATAAATGGGACAGTGTTCACATTTGAAGTTGTACTGTAAAAAGGATCAATGTTTAAGTGGTTTGTTACATATCCTCCCTAATTTTAAAATTATTTAAGCCCTCTAAAACCAGTGAAATCAGTGAAGCTTAATCCACAACACTAACCAGATGTCTAGTGTTTTGTTTTTTAAAACAGAAAGTAGGTTGATCATATTTTTAAGTAACTTAATTAGGGTTTTCATTAGGAGAATGATTCTCTCTTAACAATTAATTAAAGTTCAAATTTTACACAGAGCAGAATAGTTTGTCATTCTGTCCTGGGAACTACTTTATGCTGATCCTTTTCCCTTGTTTGCTCTTTCATTCCACATTCTAAGAAGTGGTGTAAGGGACCCATGTGATGTTTAATGTGACTGTATGAGGCAGAGTCGTTTTAGCTATGTGATTCTAAATGCAAGCAGATTTGGGTTTTGATGTGCACATGGAGAAACGTGACTGCTGTGCTGTGAAGATGTCTGTTAAAAAAGGATCACTCCTTTTTAACACAGATCTGTTTTTTAACTGAATGAGATTCACATTTTTGAACATTATTATCATCTGCTTAGAGCTGACAAGCAGAGAGACTTGTAGTAAAAATATTAAGATTTCATCATTTATTGTGAATGAAAATACCTAATCATGAAAGCACCACAAGAAGCAAACAAAAAATAAGAATAAAACAAAAGGTCTGTGTCAATAAACAAGGACTTGACAGATAGCATTAAAACTAGTAAACACCAATGAATTTGTTTCTTTGCAGCATGACTAGAAGGCTTAGGCTTCAGTAAGGTCAGGCCACAGAAGAACTGTCAGCAGGAAACTTCTGATAACAAGAGGATAGAAACATGGTTACAGCTCATCACATGAGTACTTCCTTCTTGTTATCCCAGCAGGAAGATAGACTATACTCATAAAGATACCCAAAATGAAGAAAGAGTAGCAGTGGACCTGGCCTCAAAACAATAGTGAAGACTGTGATGTATTTATTGTGTAGCTGGTGACAGGGTTAAAACACGAGCCCCAAAAAAACAGTTCATTGCCAGCAACCAAGAGAAACTGAAGAGATGTAGCAAGGTTTTGATACTGGCCATCACTTGTCCTCCATACAAGGATCTTGACTAGACCACAGATACACACCCATCATGATGCTTGTGAGTATGGAAATATGAGAATGTTAGTTAGTGAAACTCAAGAGAATGAGAATGAATGGCTAGAATCAATTTTGTTTAAAATGAATATCACCTTCCTCTTCCATAAGGTTTTATGCTGTTTTGTTATGTTAAATTCCTACAAAGGTGGGCACTTTTTGTTTCCAGAGCGCTGTTTATATTATTATGAAATTTGCAATGCTTTTGCATAAACCCAAGTTGCTTCTGCTGTTCTGATTTCCTTTCTTTCTCTAAAGATCCCAGTGTTTTGCTTTGCTTGGTGCACAAGACTGACAGATGATAACTATATGACTTCCTCCACCTATTGACATATGATACCTTGTCTCTATGCAGATTAGTTAAGAATTTAAGGGAAGAGTTTTTATGGTAGACACGACAATTAGGTATTTAACTCAACAGAGAAATCTACAAATACTGACCTTTATTACAGAAATTGATAAACACATGCTTTTTCTTAAGGAAAATGAAAATTTTGTTTTTATTTTGTAATATGAACCCATGTTTCTAAAGAATGCTGCGCTGTAACTACTTCAAGGTAAGTTTTCAATATGAAAACATTTTTCGTATATAAAATTGTAATTATAGATAAAGCCTAAATATATGAAAGGGAAAAGTAGAATCTGTGATTATAAACGAGTAATATGGTGAAATGCAAAGAGGCTAAACAACTCAATATCAACTAAACATCTCAGCATTGGCTACCATATGGATTTACAAGCACCATTATAGTAATTGCTGCTATTTTCAAACTTAAATTACGTTTTACATATGCTTAACCTTGCTGAGTGGGATGTTGCTATGTTATATGAATATTAATGATAATGTGACAAAATTTTGTATAGAGATGCATTTTGATTATTCAAGAATGTTTATAGTTAATTTGACGTAAAAAAAAAAAATAATCCTATTTCTACTTTCGTTTTGGGAACATTTTTGGAGCAAAATAATAATACATTCTACTTTGTTTGGTGGGTCTGGGTCTTTTGCCTATCAAGGAAGAAAAAAGGATGCTGTAGGGAAAGGACAGAGTTCACTTTTTTTTTTTTTTTTTTTTTTTTTTTTTTTTTTTTACCAGATCACATTTAACTGAATCAGTTAAAAAAGGAAGCTGAGATTTGAAATATAGCCTCTGGCCACTCACTGTTCCAAAATAGAGGGCTACAGGTAATTTAGAAATTACTGGACTGACCATTTGTTTGCTGTCTTTTTACCATTGGTTTAACAGAATCTCCTAAATGATCTGTTTTCTGACCAACCTTGGAAGCATTCGTAGGAGAAAATAGCCCCAAGAAAAGATCAGGAATGATCCTGTACTCTTTGCATTGTTCTGGCGGCAGAAAAGAAATTGAGAGCTAAACTAGGTCATATCTTGGTTGACCAAAGTCTTGCCAAGAGTTTTTGGAGGTGTACGTGTATAATAGCTTTGTCAGTCCCCAGCCAGTGGTAAGATTAGAGAACAAGCTTTCAAGCAATTTTGTATTAGAGGTTAGTCTAGCAAAAGATCAGGAGTATGGCATGACCTGGTTTATTTTGGGAATCTTTTCCTACATGATGTTTAGGCACACCTAGGATCCTTGCCCCAAACCCTTCATAAGCACCCACTCCAGGTCTGTAGAATTTTGATAACAATACTGGGTTGACAAAGCACTGTCGAAGAATATGGGATAATTCAGAATTAATAATTAAAACAGAAGCTACTGTGTGCAACTTATATACACATGTAACCTAAAAGCCATAACATAGTTCAGTCAGCCTCAGTCTCTGCTGTCAGGCATATTCTGGTCACTGTTGCACTGTTACTTAGCACAGAAGTAAATTATTCTTAAATCCTGGAGGACAACAGATATTTGGCCCCAGTTTACTTAACCACGGTGAATTTTGCTTCGATTAAATGTAGATTTAAACACCCTGTAGATTTTTATTT